TTGGCACACGGTTAGAGCATGCCCTAAGGAAGATTTTTGGCTATAGTGCCATCGCATATTTGTCCCATGACAACAATGGCCGCCATTTTCCAAGATGGCCATTATTCAAATTCATTATCCTTCACTTTCAGCTAATATTCAACATAGAAACATGATCTTGGTGTCTAAACTAACATTATCGGGGTCAAGGAACACATTGCAATCAAAATCATTATCGGTCGGAAGCCGCCATCTTAAATTTCAAAATGGCCGCCATTCAAATCCATTATCCTTTAATATTTCAGCTAATATTCAACATAGAAACATGATCTTTGTGCCTAAACCAACATTATCGGGTTCAAGGAACACATTGCAATCAAAATCATTATCGGTCAGAGGCCGCCATCTTGAATTTCAAAATGGCCGCCATTCAAATCCATTATCCAATTCAATTTATTTCAATACAACGCTATGAGCGCCATCTGGTTTGTACCACGTGACTGCCATAATCCCATTCACTCACTTTATTTACACCTGACAATTACTTTTTAAAGGTATCATATTGGTTCAACAATTTAATAATTTAACAAAGCTAATAAATTGAAAGAGTTGTGAAGAGTCAGAAGAGCTTGTGACCACACATAACCTGTTTAATATACACTGCCAGTAGTAGCACATCCGTGATAAATTGTGCGTATTGACACTTTGGTATGCCCTTCCTTCACAGCATCTGCTAGGTGCAGTAGGATGCGGGTATCAGCCTCCTGGTGCAAGACCTGATATATCTCGGGGCTGTGTATAGAAGACGTCAGCATTTTCCTTGACCCCGATAATGTTGGTTTAGACACAAAGATCATGTTTCTATATTGAATATTTGCTGAAATATTAAATGATAATAAATTTGAATGGCGGCCATTTTGAATTTCAAGATGGCGGCCTCTGACCGATAATGATTTTGATTGCAATGTGTTCCTTGACCTCGATAATGTTAGTTTAGGCACCAAGATCATGTTTCTATGTTGAATATTAGCTGAAAATGAAGGATAATGGATTTGAATGGTGGACATCTTGGAAAATGGCTGCCATTGTTGCCATGGGACAAATATGCGATGGCCCTATAGCCAAAAATCTTCCTTACGGCATGCTCTAACCGTGTGCCAAAGTTCATGCTTGTATCATAAAAATCACAATTCATTTACATATCTGCCGGGCTATATATTAACCAATTTAAACAAAATGAACAGTATTTTTCCAAGATTTCCAAAATTGAATACATGGACGGGTCCACAATTTTATACAGAGCGGCAACATAGGCGGATCCAGGAATAGTGAAAGACAAATTTCTTTAGAGACAAAGTTACGCCCGCGGAGAGAAGTCAATGTGGGTAACTACACTGCAGTACAAGCATTTATGAGCTATAATAATCTGGACTTGTAGCGCATCAACGTCTTAATAGCGTTAAGCAATCTTATTGCACCTTCTTACGAATTCTAGGATTTTAAGGGGCCTACAACATCTATTGCTAAAGATTAGCGAACTAAAATTCTTAGCCACGTTTAACCGTCAAATAAAATTCAAATGAATTAAAACCTGGTTTAATAGTAGTAAAATTTCGTAGAACATGGTTTGTCAACACGTATGCTGTGTCAAAACGTATAGCTCACAACTAAATCCGCCACCGTTAACCGCATGCATAATAATGACACGAATGGTGTAAATCGCCATAATATCGCGTTACTGACTGAAAAAAAGACGAATAAGTTGTCTTTACATAGTATCATCATGTTTATTCCCACTTTGTAAATTATATACATATCAGTTCCTATAAAGCCCAGCGCGCCTCGGTAGAATGATGCTCCATATAAAAATTTTACAATATGCAACACGCTATCGCCGCGGAAACACAGACGAATACACCTATTCTATTGAGGAACGATCAGGGATGCAGGCACAGATTGAAACGACTCTTGCTGCCTTGGTGTCTCTCGATCGACATCCTTCTCCCTGTCTTTGTTGAACAACCAACTGCGCGCGATAACTATGGAAACATCGTTCTACGACATTGAAACCTAGAAACAACTGAACATCTAGCTGCTTCCGCTGACCGCAGATATATGCGGGACATGACCTACGGCGACCGATGACCCTTGACCTGTAACGGCCGATCATCGTCGACAAGGCCATAGCATAATTTGACCTAACCGTCGTTCGAGAAATGTTTGAACAGGAGCATTTTTACGTGCAACTACGGGCCGGCCACCCGGCTAATACACCACGATGTCAGTACGGGCATTCTGTCACCGCAACGCACTAGTGCGAGTACAACACCGTAGTCGGAGAACAGTAGTAGCTGGGTACAGACACTCGCTTCGGTCATCACACTTATATTAAGTATCTGCAGAATACAGCCCGGCGGCGATAGAAATCGTCGGCCTTGGGAGAGAGCGTGAGATGAACACAACAAGGATCGTATATAACGCGTACACGCACTACACATCACCGCGTCGGGGTCCTGACGAGTTAATGAGTACAATAAAAAAATCATGCATAGCTCAGGAGAGCTAGATAAGAATAAGAATAAAAATGAAGATAAGAACCGGTCGGAAGAGCTTTACCTGTGCGTCACAGAGCGCGCTCGCCGGGCGAGTAAACTCTATTGGGTTGAATTGGGATTCGCATAAACCATCTTGATAAACACCGGTTTCGCTCGCATATAGCAGTGGCATCACTCTAACCTTGGAGTAAACATTCTGACTTATGATGACAGAATGATCACTCTAACCTCTAACTAAGAGAGCGAAAGAGGAACAGCGAGTCAAATAAGTAACAGTGCTCGAGTAATGCTAGCAGACAAGACCGGTGGTAACCAGGGTGGTGTAAACGCACGAACGAACGCACGCACGCACGAACGAACGCACGAACGAACGAACGAACGAACGAACGAACGAACGAACGAACGAACGAACGAACGAACGAACGAACGAACGAACGAACGAACGAACGAACAAACGAACGAACGCACGAACAGACGATACATTTCCCCTGCTGAATTCGCAACGCGTAGCAGTCGCATCGCCTCAATCTTGCACCGATCACAGTTTGCCGACATCAGCGACCATGTCGTCAACGACACAACGCGCAGCGACCTCTATCAGGACGTCTAATCGCACCGCTTGCTCGTCGACTCTATACTAACACCTGCAGGAGGAAACAGGGGGACTCGCGCTTACGCGTATAAAATCTGGGGGGAAAAATCAACAACCGAAATAAAAACACAACCATATATATTGCACCGCGGAGTATAACATCTGCATGACTGCGCCAAACAACAGCCGTCAAAGGCTGCAGTCAACAGCACGGGACGACAGCATGGGTCAACAGCAGTGGTCAACAGCTGGGGTCAACAGGATGGGTCAGAGGGCGGAGGCGTCGTGCTCATCAAACGCTGTCAAGTCAAGCCACAAGATCAAGCCGCCGTGTAACAGCTTGAGAACAGACTTCGTCTCCATTCGTCGGACGAAGATAGCCGCCATCTATAACCACACTGGGTCACATCTCCGAGAGATGGCGTCCGCTGCACGAGGAGGTGTAAGATTGGGAAGCCCGTACACACACCTCGCTAACGCGCGTCAGACAAACAACAGTGACACAAGGTGCCTGCACCAGTGAAAACTAAACGTGTTGGTTTATCGTGTGTATATGCATATATATATATATCAGGACTGATATATATATATATATATATATGTATATAATATATATATATATATATATACGCACACGCGCACACGATATCCCGCGGTCAGTGTACCTGCTAATTTCAGTCCACTTTAAATTATAATTCTTTCAGACTATCGTCTGGCCTCAGAGAGCGAGTGGAGTGAATCTAGCGATTCTGTATGTTCGACCATCCCCCGAGCCTGCACATGGCACAGAGTAAGCGGCATATAACGCTAAAACTACGCAATAAATTACACGATAATAAAAAACACACAAGCCGACAAGCGCATAGTAATAAACCTTGAAAACGTCTATTTCATCGAGAGCTGCAACAACCTGGATTGTGTTCAAACTTGTTTCGACGCCAATACACACGCGCGCACACACAGTGACACACACACGCACACACACATACACACGCACCCACACACACATACACACGCTATACCGACAAGCATTTAAACATGTGGTCAGTGCCGGACACGTTACACCGCAGAAGGCTATGCTTAAAAAACAACCGTCCCAAAACATCACAAAAAGCGACGGGGCAAGAAAATACAACCTACGCAAGAGCAGAGCTTCTATAGCAGTGTCGAACACAACTCCCGCGAGAGGGCGTCACGGAGATTCCCGCTCAACGATTTGGAGAGATGACACGCCAACGTGTTAAAATGTCGCAGGCGGAGACACACACTGCGCGCACGATCATCGGCGGTGTCGGATAGACTCGGGTTCGAGATTCACAGAAATGGCAAGGTCTGCATAAAAAATCTACGATTACACGAGCACGGACACGACATTTGACACAAGCAGAGCAACCAGTAAAACCCTCGCGCCACGCACGCACGCACGCACGCACGCACGCACGCACACACACACACACACGCACACACAGAGGGAGGTCGCCGATTTCCACCCACCGGACGAACAGAATTTTCGACGCAGGAATGCAAGAGTGTCTCGCCACAACATCTACGTGCACGCGTATAAAAGAAGGCCAGCTATAGTCATAAAAGCCACGAACGACGACGGCGATAGAAAAAAAACCCGGGCCCCTCTCCGCCCTCCACCGTTTCGAGACCCCTCCCCGCCCTCTCCCCTCCCCCGGCGTGGGACCACCTACTCAGCCTTCTCCCGTTGCAAGACTCCCCTCCCTGCTTTCCCCTGTTGAGATATCCCTCCCCGCCCTCCCCAGCCGCCACACCATCCCCGCCCTCCCCTGCCCCCCAACCACCCCCGCCCTCCCCTGCCGCCGCAATGCAGCGAGACAACCACCCCCTCCCCCCGGGGGCCGGCGCCACTAGGAGAGATTGAGCAAGCCGTGAGATTCGAGCAGCTTCTTGACGGTGCCGCGCACGAGGAAGTGCACGTGGTGCTCGTTGAGCACGCCTAGCGACGTCAGCCCCGCGTCGCCGCTGCCGTCGGCCGCCGCGCGCGCCAGGCAGTTGACCTTGCGCGCACGCTCCAGCTCCAGCCACAGCCGCAGGCCGGCGTCGTCCTCCTGGTGGCTGCGCGGGTCGCGCATCAGCCGATCCTCGGGACCCCAGAGCGCAAACTCGAGCGCGCCGGCGGCCTGCGTCAGCGCGGCAGGCCGCTCGCGCGACAGCGCCTCGACGACGCGGCCGAGCGCGCGCGAGAACGGCGAGCGGGCGGCAATCGTCGGCAGCCGCCAGGTGCGCAGGTCGCGCACGAGCAGACGCACGTGCAGCAGGTGGTAGGCGATGCGCGCCGCGCAGGCGCACAGCGACAGCCGCGACGACGACGATGACGATGCGTCGGCTGCCGACGACGGCGCGTCGAGATCGAGGAAGACGAGCCGCTGGTGTGAGTCGCCCTCCCGCTTGACGAGCACGAAGCTGTCGAGATTGCCTTCAACCTCCTGCGAGCCGGCGCCCTGCAACGATACAAGCGGGGTGTGAAGAACAAACATGGCGACGATAGACTGCCGACATAGCTCCCTTACAATGGCACGTGCGTCAGCGTAGAGCGGAGTCGAGCGAACAAACATGGCGACGATAGACTTCCGACATAGCTTCCTTGCAATGGCTCGTGTGTCAGCGTAAAGAGCGCGGCTGCGAACAAACATGGCGATGATAGACTGCCGACATAGCTTCCTTACACTGGCTCGCGCGTCAGTGTAAAGAGCGCGGTTGGTTATTTATGCATACTTTGTAAGCGATAGACATATTTACGGGTTTCAGTGAAAGCAAACTTTCGCGTAAATTGCGATCCGTGATTTACGTGTTTCTAGACTCATCGACGCGTTTACGTGGTTTAATTTAAAAGTCAGCGTTCGGGTAGGGTGCAGTTTGATATTCATTTGCAAACATATTACAACAGAAACTGACAAAAATCGTCACCACTCATGATTTTCACTTATCAATAGATGTTACCAGTATGAGTTTTAGATTTACAAGGAACGCATAACAGCTAATATTGTATCTAGTTATGCGATTACTAAACTAATACGCCAAAATGAACAGCAAGGTTTAACAGCATAAGCGGCTATAACGCGTGGTTCCATCCTACGGCATGATTCGTGCACTGTACAATTACTACAACCGAACCGGCCACGCATTTTCTGCACGCTAACTAACAAATATATTTTCAATATTTGGCGATAAAGCAAACAAATAAAGCGCGGTTTTCTCTGCGCCAAAAAAGCAACACGCAGTTTAGTTCAACTATCAACCGAAGTACTGTGAAATCAACTCATTTTGCTCGCGTGCGATTTAAAGCGAAGTCATTCAGTAAAAAGCGTGAAAGTTTGCGTGCACTAAACACGAGCTAACTAACTGTTTTTCTATGTACGCCGCATCACAAATAAGCGCACGTGGCAAATTTCACACAGGAACAACACAATATTATAGTCTTTAATTCAACAACGGTTCGGGTCGGAGGCGAGAAAGGGAAGGGGGTAGGAGGAGAGTATATAGTCAGTGCACTGCTAACTTTTCACGACGTTGCTTCTTGGGCAAGTCCAAGAGTTTACACACGTTACGGTTACGTATGGGACATTCAGAAAGTTTAACCCTCTGAAAAGCAATTAAGATCATTGAAGTCATTGATTTCACTGTTTTTAATCCAATGTTGGACTAAAGGACTCCAAGGAGTATACCCACAAGAATTTATATGTTATTTGTCTTTGGGATGATTATGTAATTAAGAAAAACATGGTGCGTTACATATGGGACAGCAAGGGGACCTTCTCTTGGATTTGCCCTCTTCGTAAAACTGCTTCGATCTTCGTCAGACAAGCCTGCCGGACCTGAGCCGGTGATGCGGCACGAATGTCCTTCACAGAGGAGCCGGCAGGAAAACTATTCCTGAATCTACGCACGTAGACCCTACCAACCGCGCACTCACCGCGGTCCTTACACGTAAAAACTTTCCCTTGCTATAACCTTGGAGTAATCATTCTCACGAATTACTCCAATGATTACTCCAAGCTATAATCTACGGCAAATAACAGATAGTAGATCGCAGATCGGAGAAAGGTACGTGTTTCACACGCAACCTTCGCGATAACGCGCAAGATAGCTTTGCGGGGAGTATTTGAGCGTTGGTGTTTACCACGAAGCTGAGAGAGAAGCTTGCCAACTACGCGAATAAACCAGGCAGTTTCTAGCTCAATATTTGCTCGGCTCGCTCTCTTTGCTTTGCACCTACCAGGAAGTGTCATAATAAGCTCCCGCGGAAATGCCAATTGCTTTATAGCTTGGTAGAGCTGTGCAGTGGACTAACACGTTTTACGGACAAGACAAGGAGATATAAATATGACTGAAACGTGGATATTACCAAATTATATTTGGTACTACTAAGTACTCGGTATACTAATAATACAACGTGTCAACACATAGTACAAGCACACAATCTCAAGACTACATGCTTGTGTGGTTATATCTTTGATAGCATTAATATCATGTCACACATGAATGTAAACACATGACATGTTAGCAAGAGCTAATAATACCTAGTTAATAATTGCCTAATTAATTAACCTAACCTAATTAATTAATAGCAAGAGCTAATAATTAGCTACGTAATGCGTGACCGTGACGACGATGTACACCCGATACACGGTCGTTGTGCTAAATAATGTCTACTGTGCGGGAGCAACGAATCCTTACTTGTACGAAGAATGTCTATGCAAATCGGCTCCGCAGAAGCCCAACAAAACGTCGATAACGATTCGATGTCGATTATTGATTCAGAAACGATTCGCTAGAAGCATGCACTTAATTCTCTCTCTTTTAGAACCGATTTCCAACGGACTGGCTCCGTGGAAAAGCCGCAGAAATGTAATTCACTATGTCTTCTTTTTTCCGTTCCAAGTGAGACCCACGTTGTCCAGAGTTTACTGTTGCATATCACTGGCGCGAGCCAAACTCGGTGAGATACCAGATAGATCACCACTCGCCGCTACTACATTTCCCGGCCGGGGCAATGCCACCAGACAAGGCCACTAGGCAGCATCAGGCTAGAGTTGTAACGCCCATGTATGAACAGAAATGCTGGATTGACCTTCCGAAGACAGATCACCTACACTAACCCATTCTGCTTGTTATTCGACGCCACAAAGGTTAGTGATAACTGATCATAACCTACTAATCCTTACTAAAGGCAGTCTCCATCACCCTTACCTAACTCGCTGAAGCTGTGCACAGCTATTTAACTTCTTGTGAGTTTTACCTTGGTCATATACCGTATTAGATCATAGACAGCTATCTCCAGTTAAACGGGCGATCAGTGAGCTAGAGAGGTTAAAACTAGGACAGTATACGATATAACGCACGACTGGTACGTGATCATGAAGTAACAAACCAGATCTAACCGGATCAGGGTAAACACAGAAAATTCGATCGCGTCTGTTTCGTAAAATACTATTATCTCTCTATGTAGACGCACGCACGCACCGACACACACGCACCGACACACACACACGCACCGATACACACACACGCACACGCACACGCACACGCACACGCACACACACACACACACATCAACATACACACCAACACTCGTACACCTAATTACCACCACATACGCCGCATTGACGGTCATTATATTCTCTACTAATTTTATTCGAATTATTGCTGATGTCAGTTCCACGCCTACATACAGCTCACATCACACTTGTCACACACTGCAATGCAGACATCTGTAACATACAGGGCGAGTATAGACCTTCGCTTGCATTGCTCGCTCACTGGCGGGGTGCAAACCTCGTTGGGTTCACCAATCGAGCGGCGAGAATTACGCAAGATGCACCGTCTTTAATTCCGGTACAACAATTAAAAACGCAATCGCGCTCGCGACAGTTCAACTAACGAGCAGCAGTGTGCCCGTTAGTTGGCACGGAGCGGACGTGCCGAGCTGCCTCGAATCGCTGCCAACAACGAGTAAAAAACACCGCAGAGACACGTACCTAAGCGTCAAGATAACAGAGCGACAGATGCGTCACAATCTAATCTGGTTACTTAATGAAAAGACAACCCAATTAATTTCACTCGTATTATCAGGGGGAGATAATGACAAATGTCATTCATGACAATATCTACCCATGATAATATCAGGAGTAAGATAATATAGAATCCTATATTATCTTACTCTTGATGATACATTACTGTGACTCCCAGCACGCACCCAGCAGTATGACTGCATCGTATGACTGCAAATTATCACAATGATCACCATGACATGGCAACACTAAACAGTTCTTTCTCAGTGTTGTCACGTAGGCCTATAAAATGTAAAGCAAGCACGGGGTCACTGGTAGTGTTTGTTGACCGGGTTTAATTTCATTGCGTTCATTTACTTAAAGTGATTACGTCAGCATAAATAGCACTAGCAAATAATAAATTTATATGTTAATTGTACAAAATAAAATCTATAAAACTACAATCAGTGTTTCTGTTCACTTTTCATGCTTAGATACCTTCTTTATACTCCCTAATTTGCCGTCCATTTGATGTAATCAAACGCTCGACACGAACACAACCACCATTATTCTATATGTAAATTCTATATAGCCCACACAAATTGAAACAGAAACTGTTTGTGCACCATACACAAATAACAACTAGACAGAGGGCACTCACGGAGAGAGCATACCTCCGCCAGCAACATACGCCATACGACTCACGAACACACGAATAACCCACGATATACGCCAGCGTACTAACATGTATACGCTCCCATGTAACATGTATGTACGTGTTACGAGCTGGCTCGCTGAGCTCGCTGGCTTGCTGAGCTCGCTGGCTTGCTGAGCTCGCTGGCTTGCTGAGCTCGCTGGCTTGCTGACTCGCTGGCTCGCTGGGTGATATCGATCGACCGCCAACGACATACGCCATACGACTCGACGTGCTAATATTGATCGCGCGAACACACTAACACACGAGAGCAAAAACATAACTTCCTCCAACTCCGTTTGGCGGAGGTAACGACATACACCACATTAACAGAGATGCCATTAAATAGTATCATGATAGGAACTCAAATCAGTATAGATTTTTTGAATTTTAACCAATGTAAAAACATTCTTATCAGGTGTCAGTTTGAGGATATATTTAATGACGTTAGTACTAACTTTTGATGTGAAAAAATTACAAAAATTACGTTACAAATATAATTTTCAGGAAATTCGTGAGGTAGTCTAGTTAATGGCAGCAGGAAAACTGTGTGTGTCAGTATGTTAGCACGGATGTGAGTGCATACGTATGTGAGTGTGCAAGCGTGCGTGCACGCGTGTGTGAGAGTGAGCTACCCCCAATATAACATGTATGCCCGCACCTGAGAGCTCACCTGGGTTAGAAACATCATTAATAGTTACGACTAAGCCAAGTCTAAAATGTCACAACTAAATTGCACAACATGTCGCGTTGACGACACGAAGTTAGGACATTTCACATTCACGACATCACAACTACTCATGATGTCTCTCACGGTGGGCCTTTGTACGATGACAACACACGTGCAATGTGCTACCTGTAAGTTCTTGAGCAGGCCGAGAGCCTGCAGTAGTAGGAAGCAGACAGTCTTCTCGTACACGTGCGGATCCTTGCTGTGCCTGTCCCGGCTGTTGTCGGCAAACTTACACAGCGATTCTATCATCATCGGCGGCGTGACAGCAACCAGCACCTGTAGAGACAGACCCACACGAGGTCAGCGGGTGCGGACCAAGGTCAGCTTGTATAGTTAGTCTATACGAGCGATTGATCAACAAGTAGAGTCACTTATGTATCAGCATGTATGGTCAGTATGTATGGTCAGCATGTATGGTCAGTATGTATGGTCAGCATGTATGGTCAGTATGTATGGACAGCATGTATGGTCACTATGTATGGACAGTACGTATGGTCACTATGTATGGACAGTATGAATGATCACTATGTATGGACAGTATGTATGATCACTATGTATGGACAGTATGTATGGTCACTATGTATGGTCACTATGTACGGACAGCATGTATGATCACTATGTATGGACAGTACGTATGATCACTATGTATGGTAAACAAATATAGTTGGAAGTATTGTGATCATTTACGGTCAAGACGACAAAATATATGGTCAACATCAATCTTCTCTCAGCATCACAAATCAAATCAAATCAAATCAAGAGCTCGTGGGTGCCCAATGGCGTATTAAGGAGAAAATCACGCCCCGGGCCAAGCATATCGCGTACCCTAGTTGTCTGGTCGTCTGGAACTTTGACCGATTGCTGAAGCAGCTTCGAGGGAACACTGTCCTCAAACTCTGCAAAGACGTACAACCCACTCTCCTTCTTCTCCATCAGCGATGTCATCTGTGGCAGAAGCTGCAGCAAACGAAACAGAGATAGTGCGCTAAGAACAGTAACGATACAATTTAATGCAACAGTGAGAGAAATAAAGTTAGAGTAAATTAAAGCTTCCCGAAGGAACCAATTACCGCAAAACACAAAGAAATTGCACTGTGCTGCCATCTACCATGCACTAACGAGTCTTTTGATATGCCACGGTATGTATTCTGTCCTAAACTTTTTCACTCACGTTAAGCAATCCGCAGCAGGGTTGTGCTTCCATGAAGTGCTATAGCACACACTTTCCCAAGCCTTGCCATGCCTGACCTACCATACCCTATCATGCCCAGCCACTCCCCTCCCTGCCCTACACATGGCTTACCGTGAGCGTGTGCTCCTGTTGGAACGGGTTATTCTTTCAAGAGGCACCATGGAAAACATACTGCTCAAAGCCCTACCCTCCCAGTCTCTTTTTACCCCACCCGTCCTGCCCCTCCCCTCTCCGCCCCACCCCGGCCTGTTCTGCCCCTCACCTCTCTGCCCCACGCACAGCTTACCACGAGTGTGTACTCCTGGTCAGGGTTGTACTTCCACGAGGCGCTGTAGAACACATACCGCTTCGTCGTGAGCAGCGGCGATTCTGACTTGAGCAGGAAATCCTTCCACTTCAGCTTGCTGCCGATAGCACCGATGCCTGGCAGCGAAGAAAAAAAAACATATGAACATCACAGTGACTGCACATGGACACCAGCGCACCCATGCTGCTGATAGTGCCAATGCCTGGCAGCGAAGAAAAAACACATGAACATCGCTGTGGCACCTTCATACTGCCAATAGCACTGACGCCTAGCAGCAAAGAAACACATGAACATATTTAAACAAGAAATCATTAGACAATATAAAATTCAAGTTGATGTTATTTACATTATAGGTAACACAAATACAACTTATATAAGATTGCTATACAAAAATATATCATCAGAATTATGAGAAAAATCCCATGTCCTTAAAATACACACACGCACACACACGCTCAAGCACGCACACAAACATACACGTACGTACACGCTCACGCACGCACACAAACACACATGCACGCACACAAACACACACGCACGTACACGCTCACGCACGTACACAAGCACACACACACACACGCACGTACACCCTCACGCATGCACACAAACACACACATGCACCTGTCTTGGAGAGATCTTTGTGCTTCGATTTCTCTGAAGCCATGACAAGTGTCTCCAGATTCATCATCACCATCTTCGTGTAGTTGTTGCCCTGGGCGCTGGCCGTGTCCACATCCTCGTAAAAGCCGCTGCTGCCGCGCGACTGCCGCTTACGTCGCGGCGTCGGCACGGGCTGGCCACCTGCTGGACAGAGGGATTGACGGGTCACCACACACCGTTAACGTCGGCAGTCTAATATACGGGTGAAGGGGAGGTCTGCAACACCGTTACATACACACACACACACACACACATGCCATCATACCGAGTCACAACGATAGTCAGAGCATGGCTACGAACAGATGCCAAATTTAACGTACTGTTATGGTGTCATGCAGCGTTGTATATGTCTGAAATGATAGTCATAGTACGATTGCGAACAGATACTAGCATTAACGTACTTTTGAGGTGTCATGCAGTGTTGTATATGTCAGAAATGATAGTCATAGTACGATTGCGAACAGATACTAGCTTTAACATACTTTTGAGGTGTCGTGTAGTGTTGTATATGTCAGAAATGATAGTCATAGTACGATTGCGAACAGATACTAGCTTTAACAAACTTTTGAAGTGTCGTGTAGTGTTGTATATGTAAGAAATTCTAGTCAGAGTACGATTGAGAACAGACACCAGCTTTAACGTACTGTTGTGGTGTCATGCAGGGTTGTACATGTAATAAGTCACAGATAACACACACCGTTGTGGTCTTGGCTGGGAGATTCATCATCATCCGCGCAAGCAAGGGGGGCCGTAAAGTTCCAGGCCTCGGTCGGGGTGTCTTGGTTGATCAGCCTTTCCATGTCTCTGGTCATGTCAGAGATGTTGATCACTGTGGTGAGACAAAAACACGCTTGAAAAACACATGAATAAATGCATTTATAAATCACAAACACGTGCACGGATCAACAAAAAATAATTACGCTGTAAAACTGTAAGGAACATACAACCCTAACCCTAACACCAATAATAAGAATAAACCTGACACGAACGGTACCAACCCTCCACCTCCCAACACCTACCACACTAACCTTACAACTAATCCTAATACAATATTAACATTACCCCTAACACAAACAGTACCTCTACAACCAAAAACACCTAACACACTGACCTTGCCCCTAACCCTAACACCCAATACACTAACCTTACTCCTAACCCTGACACCATCACTAACAATACACATAACACAAACAGTAACCCTACCCCTTAACACCTACCACACTAACCTTACCCCTTAACACCTACCACACTAACCTTACCCCTTAACACTTACCACATTAACCTTGTCCCTAACCCTAACACCCACCACACTAACCTTGTCCCTAACCCTAACACCAACCACACTAATCTTACACCTAACCCTGACACCAACACTAACAATACACCTACCACACTAACCTTACCCTTTAACACCTACCACACTAACCTTACCCCTTACCACCAATACTACCCTTACCTCTAACCCTGACAGCAGTACGGGGACCGGGTACCTGTGACGTTGGACTCGGCGGTCCTGCGCGGACTGGAGTCGAGTGAGTTGGACTTGGAGTTCTCGCCGCTGCCGATCGGCACGAGGTACTCATCGTCGTGGCCGGACGAGCGAGCAGACGACGTGCTCACAGTGTCAGACACCGGGTCGTAGAGATTCGCTGACCTTCCTGTTGTTGTCATCGTCCGCCGACAATCACCGCAAAGTTCGCAATCGTAAGAAAAAATCGAGTAATAATCACTAGTGTAAAATCGCGAGTATATAAAGAGTGAAATTGTGAGTAAATCGCAAGGGTAATCGTGAGTAAATCGCGAGGCTAGTCGTGGGTAAATCGCGAGTGCGTACTACACGCGGATCCACCAATATATTATATCGGCCAAAGACCATTCTAAAGTTGTATTCGTATTTTGCCCAGACGCCACGATAGTGGTGAATTTAATACCCACAGACTATCATAATAACTTCACATTTGTGTTTCTCCCAGAAAGCACAATAGCTGTGTAATGTAGCACGCAGTAGCAGCATGATAGGCGTAGTGATTAGATCTGTATTATTAAATAATGGCTGCAGCTTCTAAAATTTATAGGGAGCAGCAGTGGAGCAAGAAGCTGCAGCCGTTACCAGCTATTCGGCTTCGGTCAGGTTTACCAAACACAACTTATTATTAATGATGGAATGAAATGAACGATTCGATGGAAACACGTCAATACGTGACCAAAGAATTCTTACGTCGACCGACATCGTCGTATTCGGTAGGTGGCGGTGGCGGGCTCTTTGCAGGGAAGCTTTCACTAAGCACACTGTCCGTGTCGGAGGTGTCCGTGTATGGATGTCTGCTAGGTTTAGTTGGGTTCACCACACTCAGTCTAGCCTCACCTGCAGCAATACAAGCACACTCGACTCACGCAAATCAATGAAACCAGAAGCAAACAGATTGCCACATGGCCTGTAGCATTTATGGTCATCACGTGATGTTGATGGGTCATTACCGGTGTACGTACTAATTAATGACCAAGGAGGGAACATGCTGGCACTGTTTGTTACTCACGCTATGCAAATTTCCATTAAGGTGTGAATTCAATGTGCTGACGTAACTATTATCGAATGCCAGAATGAATTATCTTAAAAACATGAAGTCATTAGTGACAACATAATTAGGGAATGTTGTTTGTCATTAACAATGCTGTACCAATATTCATGTATTCTGACTTGGACACAGGGCGCATTCCTCGCTTTGGCAGGTCTGGTTTCTGCCGCGGCAGCGGTGGTGGCAACGCAGGCTTGGACGCGCCATCCTATAATAGAGAAAGACAAAACTATACATGACCAGTGTGATACACACTTGCACTCCCACTCTTGCATTGGACTCTTAGAAAATTAAACTATAAATTAACAAAAATAACTTGCATTCATCATGATCAAATACAAGCAATGCTTTTCATACAGGAAAAAATATTTGATGACTAATCAGTGATATTGTATTTATAATCTAAACTGATCAGACATGAAATACCCTATGTTTATGTACTATTAATAAAAAAAATAATTCTGAACAAATAGCAGTAAAAGTTTAAAGGCACCCTACCATTTAGTTCCCACATTCTTAACTGAACATTTCATCACTTTCCTGAATGAAAGTTGACAATAAGCCACGTAAAGCCAAGCGATCTGATTACACGATACTAACAAAACCTCACCGATTACAGCTCCATTCTAGTTATACATCCAAGGTAGCCAGTCGCGCAGTTTGCATGACCTTGGCAGACAAACGAACGCGACCTCTCGTCCCGACCTTGCACTGACCTTGGTCAGCAACGTCTCGGCGCCATCGCGCATGCAGACGGAGGAGCGGTCCTCGCTCTGTGAGCGCAAGCGGTGAGGCTGCGGCGGGCGGGCTGGCTTCGTGCCGATGGTGACGCCCCCGCCGCCGCTAGAAAGACCCTTGTAGCCGGTCAGGGAGCTGCTGAATGTCTTAACGCGCTCGGGCGACGTTGCCATCAGCGTGCGCTGGATATCTGCCAACGACGAGGAGATAAACACAGTCACTCAGTTGCTACTATGTACTACTTAATCACTATGTAGATTTATCTACCGTGGTGGTGGGGGGATGTCAGAAAATTTTAGTTGTAATATCAGTACGTGTAGTGGAATCCTGGACCGTCTCCATGGGATACAGACCTAATAAAACCCGCGTGGCTTCAATAAACTTATCATTCGATGTCAGCTAGTGAGCTGTGAAGTTAGTGACAAACTATTTATGTATGTTCGTATATAGTAATCAATATTTGTATATAAAACGTAATTTTGCTCTTAGTTGCATTTTCCATGTGTTATAATAGTATTAATCAATATCGTAGCATAATGATGTTTCTTTAAATTTCCTCTACAGCTGCTGTTATCAATCCAGAGTTTCATCGAGAAATAGTTGGCAACACCTAACAGAGTTGCTATCCATATTTATCTATCTCAGTTAACTAAAGTTCAGAGCTGCATCATGAACTAGGTATCACCTCCCACCAGTAACTCATTGTATCCACGACTAATTGTCACCTTCCATCAGTCAGCCATTGCTCAGTGCCATGTCGACAACTAAATGTCACCTTCCATTAGCCAACTATTGTCCACAGTCGTATACACAACTAAATGTCACCTTCCATTGGTAGTAATTATCCACAGCTGGGTCCACAACTAAAGGTCATCTCTTATCGGTCAGCAATTCTCCAGTCATGTCCACAAAAAATGTCACCTCTCAGTTATGGTGCCCACCAACACAGCGTACGTCAAACACGTGGGTTTGGCGCTCGTCTCCTTTATCCTCCTGGCCATCTGGCCAGCCGCACAGCCACCCAGGCTCTCTACAGTGGCGCCACCTACCGTCCAGGCTCTCTACGGTGGCGCCCTCTAGTTCGGAGTTGTGCTGGATCATCTGCGGGCCGTCCTCGGTGTTTCGAATGACGACGATGTCCAGCTTGCGTCGATCGATCGACTTGTGCGCCGTGTCCCTGATGGCGTACGAGTCCTCCTGCGAGGCAATTAACGAGCGGTTAACGAGGACCACAGTAATTAGCAGCAAAATGATCATTGAAGATGACGACGAAGTAACGATGCGGTAAGCTATCACCACTGATAGAATAATTACTAATGATGATATTGAGTAACGATGAGGTCAGTTATCACCACTGTGGTAACAACCACTTATGAGGGTAGTGATTAGCAATAAAGATGGTAATTATCACTGACTGACTGAGGTAATAATTACTGATGAGGGCAATCACCGTTAAGATCGTAATTACCACTAGGGGTGATTATGGGAAAAAAGGCGTACGAAAACATATGACACGACACCGAGATTTGGCGATTTCATTATTCAAACGTAATTTTGTGAGCAGTTAAACCATGCGCCATTTGTATTCGCCACTTAGTGTAGTAAAATCACCACCGTTATTTATTAATCGCATTTTGCAAAGGTGGCGAACGCTAGCAGTAGCCCCGTATATATATAGTATAAACAGGGTAGTACATAATCATAAGTGGGAAACCAATAACAACCTATTACCATACATTACCTTGTTTCCAAACTTCATGAGCTTTCTCAATGAGAACTTCTTCTTCCTCAAGGTGTCCCCACCTCTCATCGCTTCATCCCCGCCAGCTACATCCCCGTGAGGTGACGGACTCGGTGGAGACTTCAACCTGCAACAAGCACGTATGTGTCAACCGACAGAAGTGTATGTGTCAATCGGTAGAGGTGTATGTGTCAATAGGTAGACGTGCATGTATCAATTGATAGAGGTGTATGTGTCAATCGGTAGAGGTGTATGTGTCAATCGACAAAGGTGTATGTGTCAATAAACAGAGGTGTATGTGTCAATCGACAGGTGCATGTGTCAATCGACAGGTGCATGTGTCAATCGACAGGCACATGTGTCAATCGACAGAGGTGTATGTATCAATCGACAGAGGTGTATGTGTCAATTGACAGAGGTGTATGTGTCAATTGACAGAGGTGTATGTCTCAGTCGATAGAGGTGTATGTGTCAATCGACAGAGGTGTATGTGTAAATCGATAGAGGTGTATGTGTCAATCGACAGAGGTGTATGTATCAATCGACAGAGGTGTATGTGTCAATTGACAAAGGTGTATGTCTCAGTCGATAGAGGTGTATGTGTCAATCAACAGAGGTGTATGTGTCAACTGACAGAGGTGTATGTGTAAATCGACAGAGGTGTATGCGACAACCGATAGACGTGTATGTGTTAATTGTGTTAAGTGTATGGTTGACACAGATACAGCAGTTAATAGAGGTGGCACTTGACACAGGTGCGTATGTCAGTTGACACAGGTGCTCAGACATGCAAGTATGATAACAATTCGTCTTCATCACAATTCACGTGTGCATTTACGACACGAAGTGGTTCGCCCGTCGGCAACGCTGGCAATCTGACCGCGCTTACACGAAGATGGAAATCTACGAGTCAACAGCGAAATCCATCCTTGCCCCAGTGAAGTCTGGCCGTGAAGCTTAATAATGCATATAAATATGTAAAATGATTTTATTATGCAAAAAATTAATACGTTAATGAAGCACTGTTTATTTTATTGCACTGACGGTGAGGAGCTCGCAAGCTCATGTTGACATATCTTTTACCAATGTACCGTCTTTAAATTAATAAATTAATAAATAATATAACATAATGCAGCACACGGCCTACCTGGAAAACTGCGACATTGAAGAAGACTTTGCCTTGGGCGTGGAAGTGGGGGTTCCGCTCAGACTGTCGCTGGAGGCGGAGGAAGAGGGCGGAGGAGGAGGCGACTGTGATTTGCCTGAAAAATATGTTCGCCGATTAGGACAGAAATAAATGACAGCGTGGTAACCACGGAGATGACGTCACGCGCACGGAAACTAAACGAGAGGCAGCAGGAATCTCGTTGGTTAAGCCCCTCATACTACCCTCCGACTAGCAGCGAGAGTTTGGATAGTAATGCACTTGGTCACCTGAGATTAGCCAGTACCAACGAGAAGTACAGACCTCACATGTACAACAATTACGGAGCAGACGTCACACGAGAGAGCAGTAGGGCTTTTTGTAGACGAAATCCCTTCCGTAGTTAGCAGAACGCAGCATACAACACAAAAATAAAACAAACTCTATTAAGCACGAAGACCTGCCGGAAGGCTGCCACTGTTGCTTGATCACTACCTTTGTTGAGGTCGAGACTGTTGATCATGCTGGACTCCATCGAGCGAGAGTTCTCCGAATGCCGGCCGGGCGCCCCTCTATTGAGATCAGGCAGCTTGCCCACCTCTATTGCTCCCGTCGATCGTCTGTACATCTTCTGCCTGCAGGTGAAACACATGCGCGACGTGTCAGCAGCCAGGGACAGCATGGCCAGACAGATAGACCACCAGCAGTTCCCTCCACCAACAATTCACCACGTCCATCTTTCGTGAACTTAAGTGACCACTACCAAACCCTTCCACTAACGATTCCTTCTCCTAAAAGCCCTCATGGTGTAAGCACGACCCACGAACCATGACTGCCCCACCATGACCCATGACAGTGTAAGCCCCTCCCTCCATTCCACTCTACCATGATTCCTCCTGCTTCGATCCCTCACAGAGTAACCATTAATCACTCTCATGATTCCCCCACCACAATTCCTCATAGAATAACCACCAACATTCCCCACCCACACAATCCCTCGTAGAATATCCACCACCAACCCTCCACTCTAACAAACGTAATTAAGAACCATTTTTTATTGCACTAACGATGAGGAGCTTTCAAGCTCATGTTGATATATATTTTACCAATGTAACGTCTTTAAATAAATAAATAACGATATCCACCACTACCGCCATTGCCCGCACGCACGCACGCACGCACCTGTCAAAATACTCCTTGTCTTTGACGGAGCTGGCCTCGCCGACCGCGGTGTCCGTCGCAAACCTGACCTTGGCAAGGTCAGGGCTGCGCTCGACTTCGCTGCTCGCGCTCGAGCGGCGGTCGAGCGAGTCACGCGATCCGCCATCTTTCTTCGGCGGCCCGTCGGGTAGCTTCGGCGGCGGCTCGGGCGACTTGCCGTCGTTCTTGCGCGGCACGCGTGGCGGCACCAGCTCGGGTTTTAGCCGCGCCGAGCTCGAGGCCGGCGCATCCTCGATGGTCGAGGCGAGAAGCGGCGCGATGCTGTCGTAGAGATTCGGCTCCGCGTAGACGGGACTCGACGCCTTCTTGAAGTCGCCGCTAGGTGGCACTGCAGCCAGGGCCGCCGCCGCGACGCTGTGCATTAGCTTCTCGTCAACGGCGTCGTAGATATTCTGCGGAGAACGTAAGCGGGAATGTTCTTGTGTTACGAGGTAAGCGGGAATGTTCGTGTTAAGAGGTAAGTGGGGAATGTTCTTGTGCCATGAGGTAACCAAAAACATGCTTGTACTGTTGCGAGGAAGTTAGTGGAAAATTCTTTTGTTATGAGGTAAGTAGGAACGTTCTTGTGTTGTAATGAGGTTGGCAGGAACGTTCTTGTGTTGAGATGATAAAGTTACTGGGAACATTTCCATGCACTTGAAGCAGGTAAGCACTTGTTCTTGTTGAACTTACACACACGCATGCACGCACGCACGCTCGCACGCACGCACGCACGCACATGCACACACATGAACTAAATGCACACGCAACATACACCCCGACCCTCACCTCCATGTCGTCGATCGGCTCGTAGTTCTCGTCCTCGGGGCTACTGCTCAGGTGCGGGGGGATGGGCGGCGGCGGCGTGCAGTCCTTCTTCGTCGGCGGCGAGTGCGGCGGCGACGGCTGGCGAGGCCGCGACACAATGCTGGACGGCACGCGGCTGTACGGGTTGCTGTCGACATTGGACGCGGTCGCGCGGCCGCCGCCATGCAGGAACGACGTCTGCGCGCGTGGACGCTCCTTCGTCGGGCTGCCCTGCTTTGCTGAAAGCAGATGGGAGATACTTTCTTGAGTGGCTGACTGGAAGACTGAATTGTCATGTCGCCCTCCATAACTTTTATTTGTTTAGCTTCATTTGTTTTAATTTTATTAGCATTGTCTATTAACTTGCTTAACTAATATGTTTAACCTCCAAAATGTAATTCATAAGTGTAAATAAAGTAATTGAACCAATCACTGCTACGCGAACAGCTCTTGATAAGTTTTTTCATTGTAGGTGAAGGTCATTAATTAACCTAACGTAACGAACATATTGCTAGGATAGTACAGATAGAATGTAGATATGTATGTGCCGATACTTACCAGCATTAGGGGGTGGGACTGGAGGTACTGAGGGGCGTTGCAGACTGGAGACAGAGCCCTGCGGAGCCGTGGAGACAGGGTTCACTCGTGTAGACTGGATTGGAGCGTCCGCATTAATTTTCGACTGCTTGGCTGCATCGTACTTGAAGTAGTAAACCTGCAGCATGTGCGATGAGAATGTGTGAAAAAACATCCGATCGTACGATGATTCAAGTAGAAGTTAGAACATTCAAACACACAACTCGCTTAGGAAAATGGTTAATAACATTGTTGCATTAACACATATTTGTTAATAACATTACGTATTTAGCTGGAATGTGTGCGTGAGTGCGTGCGTATGCCTGTGCATGTGCATAATGATATGCGTGCCAAAATTACCATGTATCCTATAAATACCAGTGACAGTCATGTTGCATAGTCTGTACTCACTTCCTCTTTTTTCTGGTCTGTTAGTGTCGTGGGAGGAACCTTGGTCTGATTAATAGCAAGTGGAGGCGGTGGAGTTTGGTATCTCTTCACCAGCGCTGACTTTTCTTCATCTGTCTTCATACTATCCTTTATATTCTGTAGTCAGTTAAAATATGGCAGCTAGAATGCCTCTATTCATCACATTGCATAAGTGTTATATCAACATTGTATTCACTTCACAGAAGTGGAAAAATCTTTACTGATACGACGACTTCCACAGTAGGCAAACATTCGCCCCAAAACACAGCATTTCTTCATTCCTGTTACAATTTGTTTAATAGGTAATCCTCAATAGTTGCATGTTAACCATACAGTACCTTTCCATCTGCATGCACCTACTTAATAAAGATACAATTCTATCGTGTACCAACTTGCCTGTAAAACAGCAATTAAACATTTGCTAACCTTACCTGGACATACCTAGTCATTAATTCACCATCTTCAATAGCTACTTGGTAATCACATTGTTTTTAATACAAACACAGGCATACTCACCTACTCACTGCACACAGTTCTCTAAACCTGCACGTACTAAGCTGTCACGCGCGTTTTCCACACCACCACGTCCTTTCCACACCCACACATACCTGCAAATCTTCTCCACGCCTACACACACCTGCACACTCTTTCCACACCTGTACGCACCTTCTCCACACCTGCACGTACCTGCTCGTTAGCGGCATCGGCTGGCTTCGCCGGCTCTCTCACTATCGGCTTCACGGAGGCCTTGGGCGTCTGCTTGTAGGAGCGCAGCAGAGGCTTGTTGCTATCGACGACGCTGCCCGCACTGCCGGCCATTGACCTAAACCAGTCCGGTCGGCGAAACTGAGAGGGCGCCACCGGGTCTGGCTTGCTCGTCGCGTTCACCGGCCCGACCTCTGCTGTGCTCCGGTAACCACTCGTGAATTTCGGCGTCGGCGACGGTGACGCCACCGTTGTCGCGGCGACCGTCTCGCGCTTCTGCAGCATCGGTGAGCTGCTCTCGGCAACTGTCCGCGATTGAACGACGACTTTCTTCGTCTCCCCGCCTGCCGCCGCCGTTGCACGGCTGCTGCTGCTGCTGAAGATTGTACTAGTGGCCTTCGTGCTCGCAAAGAATTTTGATTTCATATCAATGGCACTAGAGTTTGTCTTCGTCGTTGTCGTAGTCGTCGCCGCCGGTCGCCGCGACGACGTGGCGGTGGCCTCCCGCTCCGCGGCGTCGCCATTGGCAACGGGGTCCGGCCGCGATCCTCCATTCTGCTTCGGGGAAGACGGCGACGACGCCGGTTTTCCGGAAGAGAATATATCCTTAGAGTCCTCGGAGAGCTGGCCGAGAATCTGCGCGAGGAGGCTGTTCGGGTCCGAACCCGAAGACAGCCGCTTGTCGTTGTCGTCGCCCGCTCCCGCGCGCGTATCCATGGCAACGGGAGGCTTCACGTCGTCGGGCGTCGTGCCGACGAGGAGATTCTCGTTCTCGGAGTTCCACTCGGTGTTGATCACGGTCAGTTTGGCGAAGTCGTGGTCGTCGTCTGACAGCAGCTGTGCCTGCAATGTGGGACGTGGTGAGTGGGGGCTTGTACGCCTCTCTCATGACGGGACGCCGTAGCTCACACAACATATAGCCGGTTCTATTCGTTCACACGAGCCAGAGTTCTAAATTTAGCATGCCGTAAAAAGTGCAGCCACGCACGCACGCGCGTGCGATGGGTAAAGCGTTTTGTCCTGCACGTAGAATAAAGTCACACCCACACCCCGTCCCAACGTCTGTTTTGTTTATGTGCGGTTCGAATCACGGCGCAAAACCCCAACAGGCTGTGGTTGTTTTGGCGCGATCGTGTTGCTGTTGCTGAGATGAAACCCTGTGAAGCCATGTTATTTACATCCTCCTCTCTCTCCCATGACTGCCAAATTCTATTTTAGTTTTCGGCGCAGACTGAGTGTGCGTTACACAGTGACATGTGCTAGACTGTAAAGATTTCCTCGACGATGATAATGGTAATTAATATGCTTCTCCCGGCGGCCTTATTTCTTTCGTCTTGGCGAGCACTGCATTGGCCGGGCTAAACTACTCCGAGGGGGAAGGATCGACACCAAGATGTGAACTGGTTCAATGTCCTTTCCTCGAAATACAGCAGTTGTGCACCGATTGCATTGTTTTACCTCAGACCATAATAAAAATATTGTTTGTTTGCCCTCACCCGACCGACCCGCCAAAAAGGGGCCGACTCAAAAACATTTATTGATCTTTCCCATTCTTTTTTTCTGTTTACAAATTGTATCACTGTACATTATATAAATCTGTAGGCAATACATTATATGTACCAAGCAAAACAAACATTCAACATAAAAGGTATCTACACACAAGCCACAAGCACACCTGAGCATGTAGACACCATGCTGAATTTGTAAAAAAAAAAAAACCTAAACAAAAGAAGAAGCCTACCTACCTACCCAAACTTTTCAGCCTGGGTCGGGTGAGGGCAAACAAAGATTTTTGTAATTGTGGCCTCGGGGCTTTTACGCGTACCCACTGCCTCATCCCAACTCACCTCGTCATCGTCTGCTAGGCTGTTGATGAGATTGCTCATAAACTCCGCATCACTGTCACCGTGGTGATCGTCACCGCCGTAGCCAATCACCTCAGCCTGGAATGATTAGATGACAAAGAGGATGGGTGTTTATAATTTCTTAAACGTCGCGATTCGTCCCATCACTGCCACACAGCCGACTACTCGGGAACAGGCGTCCATTGTTTACTACCTAGAGCCAGGTGTCATAACTCACGAGCTTCATTCACGAAATTCCACAATGTCGTAAATAGTTGGGACAGGCGAAGCTTAGCGCTGTATGAGGAGTACGAGTGATTGATAGTATAGTGGTAGTAACAGAGCTCTCATAACTGCTAACTGCTTCACCTTTTCCCACATTCTAATCTCCTTCATTGTATCAAAGACACAGTCGCATATAGTTCCAGAGTGATTTACGTCACCATCAGTTCACAGGAGAGAGGGGGGGGGTCCACCATTTTACGCGGTCAGCTAAACTAAAGCCACAACGGATTCACAGTCACACTATTGAACTCGAGGTTTTCCCATCTTGACAAAATTCGCTGTCCTGGCAGGGAATCGAACTTGCAGCATCAGGGTGCAAATCCACTTTAGGCACCTTAGGTATCACGAATTAAGTGATGCACAGATTTCTGTGTATCATCAACTGATGCACATACTTTTCCATCTGACACAGACTGATGCACAGGGTTTTTGCATCATTCCTTGATATACGGAAAGTCTGTGCATCAGTTGATGATACACAGAAATCTGAGCATCACTTCGTGATACCTAAGATGCCTAACCTGGATTAGTTGGGCACGATCTCACGCTAGCTACTGGAGTACTGCAAGCGACTTAGTTTGCTTAACTCATATCATTAACGTAGTTCATGCAAATAGAAATGTCACCCATAGTTAATCTTATGTGGTTGTCATTTGAGACATTTCTGGAGCACCGTAGTCGTAGAGTTGTCACCGCGACTGTCACCTGTTTATCGAGTAGCTGCTTCTGGTCGATGAGTTGTTGACGCACGCGCGCACGTACAAACGGGTGTAACCCGTTATTATTTAATATTTCCACACGACGTACATACCACGAACGTTTTGATTTTTATGTTGGCTTGTTTTTTTATACATGTTCGAACATAAGATACCTTGATTTTTCCTGTGATCATATTGTTCTTTTCGTGACAGATATCGATGCGATTCCCTAATAATTGCCATGAAACCCTGCTCGGTAAAAACCATTCGATCGATGAACAATACATACACCCATGGCAACTAGCGACACAACTTACCAGAGTAATGCTTGTCGGGAGTGAAGAACAACCGCCTCCATTTCCTGACAGACCTGCAGCGTTTGTGTGTGGCCGGTGGCGTTAACACACACAGCGATTGATTCACAGCCCACCACCACACACGGCTTGTGCTTCCTACCCTGACATATCTACCTCACTTACTCACCACGGCTCTCCGCGCGCGCTAGACTGGCCCAGGACGTACCGCGTCTAACCGCGCTACTAACACTGCGCATACGCCTTGTCGGTATCGATTATTCGAGGGTTCAGTCTACGAAGGACTGTATATGTGTACCAGCTGTAATGTTAGACGTGCTTCCATCAGTAAAAACGCGACTACTCGGCTTCAAAAGCATAAGAAGCGTCGGAATGAAAATTGGCTGCAGCGAAAACTACATTTGATCATTTCTGTGCTTTAATCCCATTCCCCTGCACTGCTGAACGCAATTCTGACGCGATCTGTGTATTATAAACATGTTTATAAATCTTGCGTTTTCTTCCAGCAGGTGGCAGTGGAAGTCAGTAACGCGATTACCAACAAATATACGAAACGGGGTTAATTTCTTATAAAGCTCACATATAAAATACTTGCTTACAGAAGGAATGGGTAAATTCATGCCCATGCCCTACATTTATAGCGCAAGATAACATAAAAATCCGCTACATAATTATGAGTTATCAATTGGCTGCTACTGGTAAACATGGCCGCCTCCACGACCACTGTGTTTATCGTGCTCCTCTCTATATTCTGTGTGTTCGTCGGTTCAGGACTGCGCTGCTCAGCGGAATCATGTACGGGGAGTGGAGGGGGTGATGACAGTAAGTGTGCGGGAGCGACAGACGGCGATGGAGCGGCGACTGAGTGCGGATGCGGTGCGGCAACGAACAGACAGACCGCTGACGACACTGCCGCGGCAGACGCGTCGTCTGTGCCGCCGCCAGCAAGCGCAGCCGACGACCTGTACACGACGTACCCGCGCACAAACCGCATGGTGCGCATAGAGGGTGGCACGTTCACGATGGGCACCGACGCGCCACACTTCCCGCAGGACGGTGAGGGCCCCGCGCGCCGCGTCACCGTCGACGCGTTCTACGTCGACGCGTACGAGACGAGCAACGCCGAGTTCGCGCGCTTCGTCGCCGCGACGCGCCACGCCACCGACGCCGAGACGTTCGGCGACTCGTTCGTACTCGAGGCGCTCATCAGCGAGCGCGTCAAGAGCGACATCACGCAGGCCGTCGCCGCCGCCCCCTGGTGGCTGCCCGTCAAGGGCGCCGACTGGCGGCATCCGGAGGGCCCCGACTCGGATGTGCGCGGCCGCATGGACCACCCCGCGGTGCACCTGTCGTGGCGCGACGCCGAGAGCTACTGCGCGTGGGCAGGCAAACGGCTGCCGACGGAGGCCGAGTGGGAGATGGCGTGCCGCGGTGGCCGCGAGAGCCGGCTCTACCCGTGGGGCAACGCGTTCATGCCTCGTGGCGAGCATCGCGCGAACACCTGGCAGGGCGAGTTCCCGCAGCACGACTCCGGCGAGGACGGCCATGCGGGCACGGCGCCCGTCGCCGCATACCCGACCAACGCGTACGGCCTGCACAACGTCGTCGGTAACGTGTGGGAGTGGACTGCCGACTGGTGGACGACGCGGCACGCGGCGGCCCCCGCGAGCAACCCGCGCGGCCCCGCGACGGGCAGCGACCGCGTGAAGAAGGGCGGCTCGTACATGTGCACGCGCGAGTACTGCTTCCGCTACCGCTGCGCCGCGCGCAGCCAGAACACGCCCGACAGCTCGGCGGGGAACCTCGGCGTGCGCTGCGCCGCCGACGCACTACCTGATTACCTCGCGCAGTCCGCCGCCGCCAGGGACGAGCTGTGAGCTCTAAACAGGGGGCGCCACTGCCACGTCGTTGGGCTCCAAGCGAGGCAATGAGGGCGCTGCCGCCACATCGTTGGGCTCCGAGCGAGGCAATGAGGGCGCCACCGCCACGTTGTTGGGCTGCAAGCGAGGCAATGAGGGCGCTACCGCCAGGAAAGATCCGAGAGGCATGTGTGTGTGGGTGTTGCTACCGCACTGTCGGCTTTTTGAGCTACTAGCAGGGAGAGACACCACGGCATTGCATTAGAAGGGTTGTGAGCCCCTTGGTCTGAGGATGCCCCCTGAGTGTCGGCAGGGAGACTGGCTGCGAGACACGAATACAGAGAAAAGTGATCGCTGTTTTTAATCGGTACTTGATTGAGCAGGCATTATTCCACGAGTGAAACGAACAGGAGTTCAGCTTGGATCAGTCTGAATGGTATTTTGGTTCAAAATCGATTCGAAATCAGCAGACAGTGAGGGCAGCAGCTGCATGCAGTGGAGAGGTTAAATACACCACAGCTACTGCTGTGCACTTAACAAGACATACAATTGTAATTCGATGCATTTGTTTTGTAAGAACCAAATAATTATGGTTGACACCATGCAATGTTCCCATGCAATGACGTCACAATTTATTTTTACTCTTTTAGATCGAAGCAATAAAATCATCCTTCTAATCTATGACGCTGCGTCTTTAGTGGATATCTTATTACAAACACCTCACATGGGCTAGTACAATCAAACAAGCAACTGTCCTAGTTACACTCCATGTAAAAGTTACTAGCACTGAGTTCATGAATAATATTCAATGACAGCAGACTACTGGGTGTGTTGCTCTTGCATTGTTATCGCATGAGACTGTCACCCAAGTTAAGCACACATGCATCAATGTCACTTATTCACAAGGTGCAGTTTCACTTACTACACCCATGGACACAGCCGCCTCAAAATCACCAGAGTTAGTAATAATGTGTTATTTTCCACTGCCCATCCCCTGGCTACAAGTTGCTACCAAATCTACTAGGAAGTTCTTACCTCTATGTCACTGATGACTACAGCCCTTGCGTTCCTGGCATTTTTTATGTTCTTTGATTTCACCAGGGCACTCTTAGGTGGAGGGTGACCATTGCTGACCTAGAAACAATAATAAATCAGCATACTCAAAAATGTGGCTGACGTTATGCAGTGACTTCACATCACTGCCCCAGTATGCTTACTTAAATATCTCTTACTTAGGCCTATGCCTGATAAAAGTCCATAGGTGTAGTACTATCGGTTCATGACAGTAGCCGAAGTATATAGTGTGCCACAATTCCATTTTTCAGGGTTCTGGCTCTTGGATCACAATATGCACCTCCAAAATGCCTATTTCTTACATCTGCACCGGCCTCCCCAATCTATCCATGCAGAAGCAATTACTGATCAATAGTAATTTTGACCCGAAGCAATGTGATGCAAATGAGCAGTGTGCTGGCATTCGGCCTGCCACGCACACAAGCATCGACACGCATACGCTCGTGAAAAACGCGCCCGCGTTCATGTATGAATCACACTTATATTAGGGCTGCAGCGAATGACTTCAGGGAGCGGCCAGGCGATTGATCGCGCGCGTGCTACGGTCTGCTATGCTGCGGATTAACACGCAGGCACACGAGCCACGGACTAGTTAGTTGCCATATATATATATATATAGTTAGTTAATATATTTAGTTAGTTAGTTGTTCATGGCCAGCGCGACAACCACAGAGGCTGGAGCCTCGACACAGAATACCCGGAACCACGGGCAACTTCCGCGGCGAGATCAAAGCAAGCGAGCAACGACGTTAGCGGGGAGGATTCCGGGCATAATAAGGGCACTGATGGGACATTTCGGCGAGCGGAGGCACCCCCTTTGGGGATGAGCGAGTCCGGTTAGCGGGTGTACCCCCTCAAGGGACGAGGGTGGGCCCGTTTGTCTCCCAGCAAAAGACCGATCCAGATATGATGAGTTGAGAAGACATCTCATTTCATCACTCCAGTAAAATATCTCCCCCGTTCTATTCCTTACTTAATTTATTTTCATCTTTATTCAAAACAACACATTATATGATATAAGGATAACCATGCACACGCATGTATGTGTGTGTGTGTGTGTGTGTGCGTGCGTGCGTACGTGCGTGTGTGTGCGAGTGTGTTTATGTGTGTGTGTGTGTGTGTGTGTGTGTGACCTGTGTGTGTCGTGTGTGTGTGTGTGTGCTGTGTGTGTAGTGTGTGTGTGTGTGTGGTGTCGTGTGTGTGTGTGGTGTGTGTGTACGGGCGTACGTGGTGATGTGTCGAAATAGTGTGGGTGGGTGTTGTGTGTGTAGCGTGCGCGCTGCGCCGTGTGTGTGTGTGCCGCGCGTGTTGTGCGGGTGTGTGTGTTGGGCGTGCCGTGCGTAGCGCGCAATGTGTGCGTGTGTGTGTGCTGTTGTTGTGTGTGTGTGTCTGCTTCTGTGGTGAGTGCGTGGCGTTGCGTGGGTGCGTGCGCTGCGTGCGTGCATAACAGACGCGAAGTACACACTTGCGCCACAGTTTCGACGCATCTAGCTCCCAGGATATAAAATGTGCGTGATCTCACCCCCAATACAATTTATATATTATAACGGCCAACAATTCTTGTCGTCAACACTGTGCAATGTTTACTTGCAATCGCAGGCAGGCAATGATGAAACGCGTGCCCGGGTCTGGAACGCCCACCTCACCGATTAATGGCCTTCTTTGGCAATACCCCGCGTTACGACGGAAATAGCGGACAAATTACACGATGCGCTGTTTGAAATGGGCGGGGAATTATTGGAGCTAGTATGAACGTCGTGCACGAACACGATGTTCGGCCATTTCTATTTGATAGACTCTTGGTATAATACATGTCGTGTTTATCGTATCGGATGAGCGCGGCGCCACGGGACGTGCGGGAGCGCGTGTGTGGATTTTTTCATCGATGAGGACACAATTAGACACCGAGCTGGTAACTTAGTTCTCACTGACTGGCCTATGAGGGTTTACCTCAAGAGGAAGCTTCCCACAGATGTCAATGTTAGATTGACGGAAGCTACAGAGCTAGAGTAATTGCTCAAGCTGGAAATGTAACCGCGGACTTTATTTAACGAACCGAATTATATACTCTTCATATTACTCAAGGATAGTTACAATTACACGCGACGGCAAAGAGAAGCGCAACTGCTCTTTCTAGTTCAAACATTCGCACCACAGCGTTTTAGACATTCGAGGGCAAGCGCCGAAGGTAATTATGGTTACTCGTGGGATCTCGAGTTTCTTACGCGTGGAATAATCAAATCGCGTTCCTGTTCCAAACCACCAACAAACAATACATACACCACACACGCACGCACGCACGCCACGCACGCACGCACGCACGCACGCACGCACACACACACACACACACACACACACACACACACACACACACACACACGTGGAACGGTGCTAGATTGCTGGATAATGACGGATGCTCGTCCGTATTTACTTCTTATGCGCTTAGCTAACTACACCTAATGCACAAGTTCGCGTGAGTGTCAGTGTCAGACGCGAGGTAAACTAATGGCCTGTCCTGTACTGTGCACTAAGAAATGCCGCTGCACCCCAATTACACAAAATCGAGACATAGATATATCTCGCACACTATGGTTAACTTATCAAAGAATTTTGGGCCCGTTGCTAAGCACGAGGCTGATCGCACAAATTTATTATCCCATTCTCTACATGCTACCTGTGCTAAAAACAGGGTACGGAGAAATAGACACGTAAAAAACTGGCTCATAGGAAATGGGCTTGGATTGGCGACGTCTTAGAAATTTTCCATTTATTGCACACGGCTCGCTCACACGTGAGAAAATACGTGCGTGTGTATTAAAATGGCTGTGCAATAAAGGCGTATACTTGTTGAAATACGAAGGCCTGTCATAGTTACGCTCATAGGGTCTATGTCCCCAGCGGTATGCCGGAACGTACCCTGGGTACGGGGGGGGGTTTTTTTTTTCCGGGTATACCGGAACCCGTACCCTGACGTCACCTATTTGATATAGTTAGGTAGCGTTTAGGCCACTCGGTTCGGTTAGTTAGGGTTCGCGGACAGTAGGCCGTAGGCGAACTCCCTAGCACTCGTTAGTGGAGTAGGCGACGTACGCGTCCGGCATATTAGGATAGTCCAGGGTACGTTCCGGTCACTAAGCCGGGACCGTTACCCAGGGTACGTTCCGGCCAGTTACCCCGAGGGGACATAGACCCTCTCAGCCAGTATTACCACGCAGCGTCTATGTGTATGTAGATGCGTAAAATCGCTATGTGCCGCTTGCTGTTACAGTTATTATAACCATCTAGCTGAAGCTATTTAGATGCTTCGTCCACAGCTAAGATTATGAGAGAGATGTATGCGTAGCTCGTGTTACTAGACGCCACTCTACTGCATACCTATAGTTTCACCCTATAGCGTGTATAGCTTAGTAGTTATGCCCTATATGAGTGAAGTGACCATCTCTGTGATTACACGTGTGTGGCTACTATAGCTAGTCGTGCGCTAGTAATATAAAAGATTGGGCTGGAATTTTAAGGCGCTAGATCGGACGCAACTCACCATACAGCGTCTCGTCGTCGTACGCCAGCTAGTGCGTGACAGATACCCCTATGTGGAATTCACAGCAGACAGAACTCGTCGAGTTTTGCTAGTAGCTGGTTTGCCCCGTACTCTAACCGGTCCAGCCAGCCGCGACACGCCTCCGCTGCAATTTAAGGCACGCCCCTCGTATTTTATTATCAACACTGGCAGGAAGAAGAACCGACTAGAAAGCATTCCGGGATGGGAGGGGAGGCATGGACGTCCCTGGCAGGAACGTCGACTCTAAACACAAGCTATGCTGATCCCCATCAGCAGCAGGCCTGCCAGCAATTCCCCCCTTCCACACACACAGCACGTACGGCACGCACGCACACGAAACAAACACACACACACACACACACACCACACACACACACACATGCATAGTACTCATGATAGTACTGCATACCACACACCACACACACATGACACACACGGACTGCGCGCGCATACACCGCACGCCACGACACGCACGCACGCACGCACGCCCACGCACGCACGCACACACACACACACACACACAAACAAGTGCAGGCCGTTTATTTCCACGATTCGGGACATTTTTTGCGGAGGGAGAAGGGCGCCTTCTGCTAAACGGCCCTCTTATAGAAACGTCGTTGTGCCTATATATATATATATATATATATAAATGAGGGGTTCACTGTTAGTTTAAGTGATGGGGGCGTCGTGTCAAGTAAATGACTGAAACTGCATGGGAACCTACAAGGAACCCCACTGTTAAATGTTAGTGCTGTTCCTGCCGCCATTACTGATGGTGATTATCATGACCACGGCGACGCTGACGATGATAATGATGCTGCTGCTATTGCGGCTGCTGCTGTCTAGAGTGATGTCTAGAGCAGCAACTCTTAAAATGTGCTCTCGCAACACACGAGAGCGAGCAATTTGGCATGAAGTCAGTGAACTACACACGCGAACGTAAACAGTATCTGGTTACCGTGTAGACACACGTGACCTGGCACAAATAACGCGGGGGAGAAAGTGGTCAATTTGGCCAGGAAAACATTTTCCGGCTCTGTACTACGGTTGTTGCGATTTCGTGAGTGCGCTCTTTTTTAACGCTCCGGCACGTATTTTTTTACACAAGAGTTATATGTCCATAGCCGTTAATAAAGCAACAAGAGCTTACACGGCAAAGTTTATTGCCACTGCTTGAATCGAGTTGGAAACCGAAGCCTCGTGCTTTCGGAAAGACTCAATACAAGGTCCATGACACGCGGTGGACAGCGCTTGCGCTAGCATGTCCAATAGTAGTGAGGGCAAATAATTTGTGAAAAAGGACACCCTATGGCCCTATGCGGTTGCCACTTCGCCGCAGCTAGCCGCGCTGAATCCAAAACATCCCCACTCCCGCTCCGACCATTCTAAATGCTACGCTTGTATACAATCTGTGGTAACGCTTGCAAAGCGGACTCGATTCACTTCATCGTGAGAGTGGTCGCCACCAACTGCTATAGGCTGTTAGTGGACTAACTAGATT